AGCTTATAATGGAGCAATATTTGGTGTGTTAGTAGTGTATATCTTTCCAAGTCTTTTTGTATATAAAACCCATCAAGGAGTTATAAAATGGTTAGGATTTAGTATAATGGTATTGGGAGTTATGTTGTCCATTATTGGAATTGTATTAACATCATTAAATCAAGTTGGTGTGTTTAAAAAGGTCTAACGGAGAATAAAATAGATTGAATCTCTTTTGTCATTTATAGAATAGATTTATAGTTATTTTTACTATTAATTCTTTAATTTGTTATTTGAAAATCTTAAAAAATATAACAAAAAAAAACACAATGGATACATCAGAACATCAATTTACTGAGATCCAGAAAGAATACCAAAATGCCCTTGTTAAGTTTGTATTATTTATTATGATTTAGTTAATAAAAAAATATATTAATTCGTTAACAGAGTTTATTTGTTGAGTAAAGACCAAACTTTATCACAACACCATCTTAGGATTTGTTTAGAAGAAATTAATAAGTTAATATCAGATATAATTTCTATTAGAAGAAAACAAGAACAAATAAATCAACAAAACCAAATCATTAAAGTACATCAAGAAAGAGTAAAAAAGATATTAGTTAATTTAAAAGATAATTTAACTACAAAAGAAGTTAAAGAAATAAACAAAATCAAAGAAAAATATGAAAATTTCATTAATATGACATCAACCAAAATTGAATTTACTGAAGTATCAATTCAACTTGAACAACAATATTATCTTTCTATTATATCTATTTTACAACAACAAAAGTTATTCATTAAATCATTATTAAGTAAACAAGTGAAATAAAGTCGATGGTATGTTTTCTTTATCCGTTAATTATTAAATTTATTCTTTTTTATTTTGTTCTTTTTATAAAATGAGTACAAAAGAAGTGTATTATTTTTTTGGATAATCTCTTATTAGTATTAAATCAGATGATTGTTGTTTGTATTGTTATTTTTAATCAAGAATTAATAAGATATTTTGTTTTTAATTCTTCTTTTTTTCTTTTTATTCTATGGTTTATTGTTTAATAACCTTCATTTAAATGATTTTATAATGATTTGAGTAAACAGTTTATTAGAATGAAGTGATTCAATGATAATGAATGAAATAAAGGTATTGGAAATAAAGAATCTTTAATTTGAAGTAATTAAATTATGTAATATCATTAAAATGATTTCATCTTTTCTATATTTATTTTTATTTATTCTACAATTGTTTTATTTTTTCTTCTATCTGTTCTTTTTTTGTCTTTTTTATTGTATTTCTTCTTTTATTTCTCTTCTTTATATTATTTCTTATTTTATTATTCTTATTACTTTATATTTCTGTTATTCCATTATTATATTCTTTCTTGTTCTTATTTATTTTCATTTTAATACATACTTTGTGTTTTGTTAGATACTTGAATTATTCATTTTATATTTCTTTTATATTTTTTTCATTTTTAATGATAGTGGTATTTTAAATACTTTAGATATGAATAGATGAAATAGAATGAATTTTAAATTATTACGTTTCTATTCATTTTTATTAATAATATCATTCAAATGATTGTTATTTATTTTATATTCATTATTTTGTCATTTATATTTATTATTTTATTATATCATTATTCATTCTAATTTCAATTAAAATATCAATACTCATTCAAATTGGTATTGTAGTACTAAATAAATTGTTTACCATCATTTCATTTAACTTGTAATTTTCTTATAAATTAGTTCTTGATTTATTTTCAATTGTGTTTTATTGATAGTGTTTTTTATTATTTGCTTTTCATTATTCATAAATATGTGAAGTATAAAAGAAAAGAATGAATTTACTGAGAAACAATTGAATAAACTAGAGAATTTGTTCATCTATAAAATAGAAATAATATGTATATAAGTTTTATTAATACTTTATTTATTTCATCTCAATTCACTCTATTATGGTTTGTTATC